TCCCTTATTTGATCAAGCGAAAAAATGAACTGGGTTTTAAAGGGTGAAGCTCTTCACAGGAGATATCGATGATGTCAAAATAGAACTTCAAATATGATAAACAAGCGCTTTCGGTTTTGCCTCTTCCTATTTTTTGGGCACTCGGTAATTTTCAACATTGAATCTGAGATTTATTACTGCATACGATACATAATGATTTCCTGTGTAATTTGCCATCAATAAATAACGTAAATGACCGACCTACAGCTTTATCTTCCACGGAAACAACGTAAATTTGTATTCTTACCTTCCTCAGAGCAAATTGTCAATTTGAACTCTCGAGAGACAAACAGCAGCTGAAGAATCTAATTGGAAAACTTCAAGCACAACTATTTAAAACAGTCGGTCAGCGATCTCTCCCGAAAGAATGAGCCAAATAACTTATTTGTCGTTTTTGGAGCAATAATCTATCATTACACGCCCACAGTTTGTTTGAATCAAAATTTTTCTTTTGCAAGATCAGCCAAATACAATTGTTTAACTTAATGAAGATTTATGCAGAATTAGTAAGTTGCCTTTCAGAAATCAACCCCTTATGAACCTTGATTAAACTTAGCTAGTATGAACTCGAAAGTATGTTATGTATGTAGGTATGTTTTTAGATGGTAGTATGAACTCCAAAGTGACAAACTTTCGCCTAATGTTACTTGGAAGGATGTTACACTCGTGCGTCAGTGAAGGATCTAGAAGATCATCTAGTTTAACATAAAATAATCACGTCGCTTCGACAGCGTCCAACTGCGTGCCGCGCTTAGGACAGATGAATCGAGTAAATAATGCCTTCGAAAGACAAAATCTTACCATTATAATCACCTCCCTGATCTTAAGCAAGCGATTTTACTGTTCTAACGACTGGAGCAACAATAATGAGTCTAAACTGATTCACGTCTTTCAGAATTTTGCGCGTCGCGTCAGTAACAATTAAAGAAGATATGATTATGTCTCCCCTATCCTTAAAGGCCTAAGGTGGCCAGCAGTGCTTTTAAATACATGACTAGGCGTGCCCGGAGTCCCTGTTCCATAAATATATCAAAAGAGATGACATAACTAGTCGAGCAACAAGGAAAGCCCAAATGCTTCAGATCTCTAGGTACAGAACCATCACAGGACAACGAACATTTCGATCTAGAATTGAAACTTTACACTTTCTTATAAAAACAGTCTTGCTGTTCTACTTTTCACTTAAGTTTTAGAAAATTCTGGCTTAGTGTTCATTTATTGCTACTTCTGTTGCTGTCATTGCTGCGAGTAACAGGTACTGCCCACAACTGTGCTCCATCAGTTAATCAGTGCTGCAATATCGCAGATTGCAAACTGGTACCGGGGAAAGTTTATAAACAAAATAAGAGCCACAGTTCCTCACTTCCATATTGATGCTCCAGTGAAAACAATTTAAATTCCAATGAAAGCAGACCTCTCTTGTAACTTTTCCATCTGCTGTAGTAGGATGGACTCCGTTTACCCAACCAGTTGAGTGAGTACCACACCTGTAAGTAGGTGGGCAGACGGTAGGCATGCGCGCACCAGCAGCATCCTTGAAACGATACCAACCAGAGAGGAAGTTATCACACGAGCAACATTTCTTAGTGCTATTGGTCCGTCTGTCGCTTGTGCTCAATACTTGGTAATCTTCACATTCTAAATAAGATATTTTAAATGGTTATTATTCGTATATCTAGTTATTCAGGGCGATTTTATTAAAAAAATAGATGCGATTACAACGATACATTCACGTTCTCCGCCGGTCTGATGCTTAGTTTACTTTTTATGGCCGTATCTAAGTAAGACGACACGAGGTATTTCGGCACTATTGACCGCTTTCAAAAATGGCTGCCGGATTAATATTCTTTTGTTTAAATTTAAATTAGCCTTTCTGGCCTCGCTTGAGATAATGTTTCTTTTGAATTTTGTACTGGAGAACGAGGCCAGAAAGAATAATTTAAATTTAAACAAAAGAATATTAATCCGGCAGCCATTTATGAAAGTGGTCTACAGCGATCAGAAACAGGGAATCAGCTATGTTTCTACTTAAACACTGTGAGTCATTTCAATTCTTAAAGAAATATGCCAAAAGAGATTGTTTATGATGACTGGTGGTTCACGAGAAATCCTATATATACATGTAATGAGTGTGATAAAAACGAAAAATGGTCAGTATTGGCGAGAAGTGGTCGATTTTTTGAGAGGAGGTCCCTGACTCAAAGATAACTCTTAAAGGGTATTTTCGTCGTCCTCTTCTAATCGAGAACTCAAAATCTGTCGCTTAAGATCACTTCCTTAGTCTTCCATTCTGAGCTTTTCCGACTATCAAGCAGATCTGTTGAAGTGACTTCCGCTAAAGGTACGACCCTAGAGGCCTCTCTGATCCTCTACCAGGAAAATATTAAATTATGTCATCGATAAATTCGGCAAAAATCTTTGAAGAATAAAGCTTTAGTGAAAACTCAGATTAGCAAAGAATGCACTTCACTTTATTTACACTGTACCTTTAGGTTGCTGGCAGCTTATTTTCCCATCTCCTGTGTATCCAACATTACAATTGCAACTGTACGACCTTTCTGTGTTGATGCAATACGCAAAGTTGGGAAGACAGTCATGGGATCCTTGAAAGCATTCGTCAATATCTGAGAATGAGAGAATATACTTTATTAAAAGAATAGACACCGTCGTTATGTGCCCTCGACTTCGCTTAAAATCAGGGGAAAAAATGGCATCAATTAAGTAAAATCAAGAGCTTCACATTGGCTGGAAGTGGACTTTTGACGCTTAAATATGATCTTCTGGATAAACGAAAAGGAATCTGATCATAGAACAGAAATCAAACTAGCAGAATGTAAGAAGTAGGAATAAAAACTCTAATTAGACAACCATCTAAAGAAAGATCGAGTAAATGACGAAATAAAAAGAAATTAGAATACCATGATATATCAAAAAATATATCTATATTCTCTTTAAAAGTTTTACCGTTTTCGCAATCATGACCCGAAAATCCAGAAGCACATAAACATCGATATCGTTTCCTTGTAAATCCCGACTGGCATGTTGAGTTGTTCTTGCATGGAGCTTGAACACAAAAATTCTTTAAAAAAAACAGTTCCGTGAAAGACTAACACACAGACTAACTCAAAAAGGGCGTTGGTAGATAGGCTATCAAAGAGTAAAGTATCTTTCCCAAGAATAGTACAAATTGACCTTGGTCAGCGCTCAATGAATCCCTTACGCTTTGAGAGGGATCTAATTGAATCAGCTCTCCAACCTAGTATATCAAAGTTTAAGCATAAGTGAAGCGGGTAATTCTATTACACGTTTTAAACGGTTAGATTAAAACTACTTTACACAAAATGCTCTAAGATGACTATCTCATACATTTGGACCCCAGCAAAAATACTATTGGTTTTTATGCTTTCTTAATTAGGAGAAAAACAGCGATCAGTTTTAATCAAGCTGAACAACGACCGAGACAAATTTTTTGGCTTTATTAGTGACGTTGGGGCCATAGTGAATGATGTATATATTTTTTTTCAAATATGGATAAAAGGAATATCCCCACCCCCCATTTTCATCAATGGCTGAGAAAGCGAGAGCAGAGGGATTGATACATGGCATCTCGTACCTTCGTTCCATGGTATACATAATTCATTGTTTTCACCAGATCATTGTCGTATTCTTTACCCGTTGCGCTATTGAGTTCACAGTTGTGTGCTCTTGCTTCAGTTTGTCCAAAATAAAAGTTGATGCTAACACAGTATTGGTTGAGGTAACAACGATATTCACACGTGTCCCTGTCTATCACACTGATGTTTGCTATCGTGTGGTTAACAAGACGTTCTCCCACAAAGAACAGAGTGGATGGAAATGCTAAGATACGGCATTGATCTAAAGAGTCGAATAATTAAAAGTGAAAATATAAAATAGTCGTCTATAATAATCTAGGGTCTTACATGTTATTAAGTGTCTGTAACGAAAACAAGTCTCGAAAACAAAGTTCTTGATCTGCTTGACAGTTGTCTTGGTAAATGTTTAAACCTATTTACAATGAGAAACATTAAGAGATACGAGTAGTCACTCCTTTTTGGCGAAGTCCTTCGCGATAGTAAAAGAAAAAACCGTAAAGAAAAAAATTGAAATTAGCACGTCAGGGAAGCTCTTGGAGTGAAATAGATGCACCGCGGGAGCTCCATCAGTGAGGCACTCGAAAAGTGGAGACAACGGACTAAGCCGACAAGTTTGAACTTGCACGGCTGAGCGGTTTCCAGCCGTCAAATTTTAATCTCAATTAGGCGTAACCGATGAGAGTCCCTATCTTAATTACCAGTGAATCTTCATGTGATCGCAACACACGGGTGATCTCAGAAAATTTAATCATTTCAAATTTCGAGACGCTTAATAAACGGTTAATCTGTAAGATGTTTCGAAAGAAAAACCTACCATCTGGGCAGGATAAAACTTGTTCAAGAGGGAACACCAAAGGGACAAAAAACAAGTGGCGTGAAACTGTCATGTCCTCAAAAACCAAATAAAACGAAATCTTTCTTGATGTTAGAGAGCCGTTAGGCAATCGGAGAACTTGACGGCAGTTCTCGAACTTTGACTGTAATGGGCCTCCAAATTTTAGGCTATTCTTTTTAGCCAATCATATTTAGATGTTTTAAGGATATTCTACCGTCCGTCACAAGGACGCTGTTGGACTATTTGATGTGTACAGAAATAGTTAATTATGTTTTTTTTTCTCCACGGGCACATATAACCTCCTTTCACCCGCACGCTTTCGAAACATTTCATTTATCCTTTCCCGAAATAATCTTGCGCATAACAAGAAGCTTTAACGTTTAATTTATTTTAAGGATTAAAAGTAACCTACCCTTGAAATTTATAGGATATTTGAACGCATTTATTTGAAAACATTATTTAAAAATACAATGTTCAACCAAGAGTTTTAGATCAAATAGCTTCTTCTTTAATGTGGCAGTGCCTTGTTGTTACAACCTACTACCTCCATTTACTGCTCTAACTTCAACAAATATTTCCCTTTACTATTACAAAAAAGTAAGCGCTAATACTCTCATTTGGTTGTGGTTTCTTAACCTCGGGAGTTCACATCCCACCTGTGCTCTAAAGGGAGAAAACACCTAACCGTGAAATAAACAGTCTGAAGCACCAACAGTTGATTTAAAAATTCCAAAAGCTTGATGCAAATAAAGCGCTTAAATATTGGAATCACAGAAACATCGAATTCTACAATGTATCAATAATAAAACCCAAAATATCTTAATAATCTGGATATATCAACAAAGTTGAAATGGTAAATTGGCCACCGTAACGATTACAAAAGCTGACGTTTCGAGCGTTAGCCCTTCGTCGGAGCTCCGACAGCAGCGACCTCGTCAGCAGCTTCCATTTCGCTGCTGCATGTAGCCTTCCCAAAGCCCTCAGTTATTTGGTACTTTCCACCATATTGCACTTTCTCAAGCACTTGCTCTCGGGCCAAACTTTACCATTTCTGAAGTCACCGTAGTTTGTGACTTTCGAACGGAGTGTCTGACTTCCTAAACAGTTATCTATCGTCTGTAATAGTGGAGCATGCATAGAGTCGTCGCTGCAGGTGATCTTAAAGTCACTTCCGTTTAGCAGCCAAAACAACGGTGATATCATGTCAGTGTTGTCAGGCGGATCAGTGGTTTCTCCAAAAGCTTCATTTCTATCAAACCACCACTGACCAGACTCGTCCATCCAATGCTTGATATCACTGTTTGAGAACCGAGCAACAAGGCTCCACCCATACCTGCCAGCTGTAAAATCACAATATACCCGACAAAACGATTAAAATAACGATAATAATATTGTGAATTAAAGCAGTGCAGATTATGAAGGCGAGATTAATATTACCACTATTCGTTATTACTGAGCTTTAATCTAAAGCAATAAAACTATTTCAGGCTCAACTCCTACCTTTTCATGTCTGTCAATTTAACACAGACTGCAGACATGACTCATAATCGCTAATGGCTTACGGTCATAAAGTCATATGAATATGTATATACAACACGGGAATTTTTTCGCGCTGTAAAGCGGGTAAGAACTGTAAGCACGACTTATAAAATTAACATGAAGAATTGGCCTACATTTTAGAATAAAGGCAATATTTTGTTTCCACAGTGGGCTTACCTTTGTAGATACACATTGCAACGTACTCATTCAAGCCAACACGCGTACTGACAAACGCACGAACACACGAACGAAAGGATGGGCATTTGTCAGGAATTATAATACTGCTTTTTTCATAAGTAAGATGTATAACGCCTAAATAAGAAAACCCTTGTATAAACAGCAGTTTAATCATTTTACTTCAGTTTCGCGTCAAAAGACAAATACCGTAAAATGAACACTTGACCACTTGATAATCAGTCAATGCGACATAACATTAGGAAAAGTGAGCAATTACCTGTGCTATTCCCAGTTCTCTGACATTGAGCCAGTATATACCAATGACAGCCTTTAGTCCTTCGCTGAAGATGATTTCCATGCAGGACTCGACTGACAATTTAGGAATAGTGCCCAGAGGAACTGTAAAATGATAGAAAATTTGTTTTTGTTTTTTTTACAAGGCTGCCTCTATCCAAAATAACCTTGTCTTATAAAGATCCAAATGCGATAAGAAGATAAGAAAAAGCCAGATAGGAAATACATGTAACATGCGAAGAAACTTGATACGATCAGGCCTTACGCCCGGCAAAGCCAAAATGTTCACAGAATTTACGTCGCTAGGCTCCTTCAAACGTCTTGAGAGGAAAAGATGTTTGAGCGACCCCAAAACCTATCCTTATGTTATACATTCCTCAGTACTTAAAGAAATATATATCTTAGCGAGAGGATACAAGTAAATTTTCCGGCGTTCCCGGCACTGATGGTCCAAAATTTTGACCGAATTCTCCCTACGATTGATAGTTTTTTAGAACAGCCAAGCATTTCTCAAACATGGCGTGTCTTTGCAGTGATCGAACTCCTCAAGCCTGTGTCGGGTACAGTCAGCAATAAACAAAATTTACGCCACTCCAAATACTTTCCGAATAGGCCATTTTACAGTTGTGTACTTAGTTGCCAAGCCTTTGATTCAGCGTGAGGCGAAAGTTGACCTTGTTGTGATAGAGACCTGTATCTAGTTAGCATGATAACAAAGTGATTTACGTATGATGCACGGTCCTCGCAGTAGATAGCGCTATTTATGCAATAGCGAAAATCAGACCTGAAAAAAATCAGGCCTGTACGGGATTCGAACCACTGACGTCTGCGATACTAGTGCAGCGCTCTACCAATTGAGCTAACAAGCCAACTGGGAGCAGGCCGTTAAGCTGATTCGTAATAAACCCGTGAAGATAAATCAGATACAATGAATATATGAAAGTTCATATATTTTGAACTGCGGTTATAGATACGTATGATGCACGATGTTAGCTCAATTGGTAGAGCGCTGCACTAGTATCGCAGAGGTCAGTGGTACGAATTCTATACAGACCTGATTTTTTTCAGGTCTGATTTTCGCTATTGTATAAATAGCGCTCTCTACTGCGAGGATCATGCATCATACGTATCTATAACCGCAGTTCAAAATATATGAACTTTCATATATTCATTGTATCCAAAGTGATTTACATTTGAAAGGCAACAAGGTTTGTACCATAACAAGGTCATCCCTAGCCTCACTCCCGTTCAAAGGCTTTTCAACCAAGCACACAACTGTAAAATGGACTATTCTAGCAAACAAGAGAATTTGGTGATAGTGTTTAAGTGCAAAGCAAATCTGATATCTCTTTCTTACTTGACGAAAACAAACTTTCCAAAGATGCACACACGAGAAAATTGCAATTTTAACAAGTTTCGAGATCACGATGACTTCACGCTATGCGTAGTCAGCTATGAAACCAATATTTCAAAATAAACATCTCATTATCTCAGTCAAGACGATTCTATAAGAAGTATTTCGGTGAAAATTGCCTGACCACGCCATCATTTTAAATTTTTATTTGAATTTCAACTTAGCCTTTTTCCACTTTTTTTTAATTGTTTCCTGGGACGTTCAGTCAATTGAATTTTCTGAAGGAAAAAGAAAAGCGACACTGAACAACAACCACACTACACATCTTTCTACACTTTACCTCTGTTAGGCCAGCTCCTCACGTAAAATTGATTATCATCTGTGACAAAATTTCGCGGTCTTGCTTCCTTGACGGTTCTGTTGTTCAATTCGCAAAGCTTTCTCGGTAAGAAAAAGTTGTAGATCTGACAAGTAAAAGTGTTCTCGCAAAGCACTTGGCAATGAAACGGAGCCCGCACGACCAAAGGTTTGAGTGTATAACCGATGAGGGCTTTGCCCCGAATCGATGCTTCAGCTAGTTTGCACTGTTTATCAGCAGAGACATTTAAGTATGCTAGCGATACCAGCCAGAGTAAATGACACAATTGGTTCATCTTCTCAATCTTGAAGAAACTTCGATCTCCCTTCTATGAAGGAGAGGCAACATCAGCCGTCAGATAAGCACGCTAACTGACACCCACCGTGGTAACAAAGACAACAGGGACCTTAAGCAGTCAGGACGGGAACGCCAAGGAAGACTTCGTTTAAAAAATGAATTTCTACTTTTACTCTTAGTTAGAGTTTCAAAAATGGATGCATGAGCTTACTGTCTCATACGGCGCCAAAGCTCAACTTCAGCATGACGTATTAATGTAGCGTTGAGTTCCAAATAGAAATTAAAATAATTTGCCGTCGCGGTTTCGTTTCGCAGACAACGCAAATTTTGGCGATTTCACGTTGTTGTTTTGCATAGGACGGCTAAGAAATGTAGAAAGTTTGAAAATGCACGAGCTGAGCTGTTGTTCTGCCCATTAGATCTCTTGTTTTTCCACGTCCTCGTTGCCGTCGCCGTCGTGGTTGCTTAAGGTCTCAAACAAAAAACAAAACAAATAAACGAAACCTACAAAAAAACTCAAGGTAATGGCAAGAACAATGGGGCTCAAGGTCCTGAAAAAAAGATTAGTGACAGAAACAATGTCATTGGAATTAGGATATTACCTTTATGCATGGTACACCTGATGTGTAAAGCTCTGATAGAATTTTCTGTATTTTGACGGTTTTATTCTAGAAAAAAATAATCGTCTGGCATGTACAACTTATGAAGAAAACACCGAGAAGTTTAAAAGGGCGAGACAATAATATTATGCTGTCTGCGAATTTTCAAAATCTACAGGCTGTCCCTTCTGTCACATCTCTATCAATGATTCTGCTTTGAATTAGACGCTTGGGGAAAGGAAATTTTTTACAGCTAGAGGGCAAGTTTTCGAAGAAAGAAATGTGTTAACGGTCGATGGGAATTTACCCGAGCAGTTAAAATGCGGAATACTCAATCGGAAGGATAATTGAGAGTTGTTTGGCGCGTTGAAAGTTCTAAGTTAAACTTGCAGTTCAAGTTTCAATTTCTTTTAGCAAAGAATAATTTAACCCAGACAATAACAGAGTAAATAAATGAGAAATGCATATATTATAACTTTTAACAGAAGTAAAAGCTCCAGAGACTGATCGCTAGGTAACTTAAAATCTTAATTTTCTCAGATATCAATGAACAAACCTGTGTTCGAGTTAAAAGTACGGTACCAAACAAGAAGAAATAGGTAAATGTCTTGAAAGCTTATTGGCCAGACGTAAAACGGTATTGCTATGCATCTGTGATATCGTACCGCTTCTCTTTGAAATAATTCATGTGTGAGAGTTGCTTGTTATTTCCTTGGAACTAATGAAAAAAAAAACACGGGCATAATTCAATAGATCACCCACTGCTAAAGCTTGCCATCTTAATCAGGTCGCATCAGTTTTGACAGGCCCCTTCAAACAAGCCTGTGTTCGAAGTAAAAATAGCGTAGGTTACTTTTTTGAAGTTTATCGGCCAAGCGTGAAACGATACTGATCTACATCTCTGATATCGTACCGCCTCTCTTTGAAATAATCCATGTGCGAGAGTTGCTTGTTATTTCCATGGTACTATAAAGAAACACGAGCGTAATGAAATAGATCAGCCACCGCCAAAGTTTAGCATCATTAATCAGATCACACCACATCCTACAAAGCCCCTTCAAACAAAATCGCAGGGAGAGTTTTGCTGTATTTGTTCCTCAGTACTGATTTCACACTGAGAAATACGACCTCTTTTTCTTCTAATCTGAATGAAGCTCTAACTTATACCAAAAATCACAGCAGAGAGAGGGAGCTTTAGTGGATAGCCAAGCATGAAATTAAGGGGGAACAGAAAAGCCGGTAGTCTTGTCCAATGTGAATATGCGTAAAGATTTAATCATTTTTTTTATTGTTATCATTACAATTTCTTCTCTTCCCAAGAATTGATACCGCTACTTGCGATATCAACCGGGCCTGCCGGTTTTGGAGATGGCGAGAGGACGTGTTTTAAATTTCTCCTGCTTTTATGCTTTTACACTGTTCTTATTATTTACACAATTCGCTAAAAGTCGACCTGCACTTCAAGAAAATAGAAAAATCCTTATCTTGAAGGATTTTTCGTGGTCAAGGCGACTTCTCATACTCGAATACACAAGCCTCTGCAATCAATGGAAGACGAAAAAGATCCGCCATCTTGGTCTGGTGTTGTATGTGAGAGGTTTTCATGCGACCAGGACAAGTTACTATGCGAACTCGCGCTCAACATTCCATCAAATGCGACTCTACAAAAGCGGAGACATCGACTTAAATCCTGGTCCAGATGAATCCTCAGTCTGTAACAAGCGTGTTGCTCGAAATAATCGAGCAGTGAGTTGCGATAACTGCAGCTTGTGGTGTCACATAAAATGTGCCTCGATCAAACCAAGCGAATACAAGATCTATCAAAGCCTTCCCTCATTTTCCTGGTGGTGTCCTAGATGCCTTTGGTCCCTTTTACCTTTTGGCAATGAGACAAATCTAGATTGCTCGCTTAACTCGTCCATAACAACAATGTTACGATGATGTCCACGAACATGAAAATCTTTATCCATCACTTAAAGCGGACCTAGTTGNGATAAGAAGTGGAAGTCTACCTTGGATGAACTCTTCCATACGTAAAGAGCTGAACAAACGCTATAAACTGCTTCTTAAAGCACAGCAAACACCGAAGGGCTCACAAGCCTGGATAGATTATAAGAAGGCAAGAAATCACTGCAACAAACTCCTTAGATCAGCGGAATCAAATTACTGGCTATCAAAATTTAACGAGACAACCTCTGCTAAAGATTTTTGGAAGACAGTAAGATCTTTTGAGGGAAAGCGAACAACTACGAATATCGGTCCAATTAAAGATAGTTCAGGAGTGATTCATTCAGACGATACATCAAAAGCCATCGCTTTAAATTCCTTTTTTGTTAATGTTGGAAAATCCCTTTCGAAATCAACACAAGATTCTTTAGCAAACTCTCCTTGTCAGTTTGCAAGAAATATCAGTGTCTCTCTTTATGACATAACACTTAATAAGGATCTTCTGAAATCTTCTCTGAAACGTTTGAAACCTGGCAAGGCAAGTGGACCTGATGATATATCTAGCAGAGAGTTGAGCCTCATTGGAGATGCATTTTTAGATTGCTTTATGCCACTGGCTCAAAGAAGTATTTTGGAATGCAAATTCCCGAGCCAGTGGAAACAGGCACAAGTGAAATGTCTTCACAAGAAAGGGAGCACTCTTGACTGCGGAAACTACAGGCCGATTTCCCTTCTCAGCATTCCGGGCAAGCTGTTAGAGAATGTAGTCAGCCAACAACTTGACAACTTCTTATATGGCAACAATCTAATTTCAATAAATCAATGGGGCTTCAGAAAAGGAGGCTCACCTGAACTTCTTTTACTCTCATTAACAGAACAATGGCGTTTAGCCCTGGATGAAAGCAATATTATTGGCGTAGTCTTTATTGATTTTCAAAAAGCGTTTGATTGCGTCAATCATACAGTTCTCAAGGATAAATTACACTCTATAGGCATTACTGGCTCCTTTTACGATTGGCTCCTAAATTACCTTGAAAATCGAAAACAATTTGTCACTGTGAATGGTTCAAACTCAGAATTGTTGGAAATAGATACTGGTGTGCCCCAAGGGTCTTTACTTGGTCCCAGACTTTACAGCATTTATTCAAATGGTCTACCCGGAGCCACCAAGAACGCTTCCGTTGAAATGTTTGCAGATGATACCACAGCTTACTGCATTGGAAAAACTGTTGATGAAGTTTTATCTAATATTCAGAAAGCGATAGCCGACATAAACAAATGGGCTAAGGATAACTTCATGACTGTTCATCCTGCAAAAACGGAATTGATGTTATTATCCAAGTCAAAATTTATCGGCCCCTTACAGAAAATTTGTTTAGGGCCTAATGAGTTGTCTTTTGTTTCTAAAGCTACATGTTTAGGGATTCATATCGACAATAATCTCTCTTGGTCGCAACATGTAAAAACTTTGAGCAAACGTTTCTCAGCAAGACTGAAGAAACTCAAGCATTTAAAAGGCCTCGACAATCACATCTTAGAGTCAATTTATTTTAAAGGTATTATTCCAAGTATTACATATTCAATTGCATTATGGGGATCCTCAAAGTCGCTTCAGACCCTGGAGGACATTCACATTAGAGCAGCGAGATTTATTTTTAACATAAAGGAATCTACTCTCAACACTGAAGTCCTGGCAAAGACAAAATGGAAATCCTTATCATACATCTACAAAAAGAGAATTGCAACTATAACTTATCAGGCATTTTACAATAGAGCTCCGGCTGGTATAATCTCTCTATTTACTAAAAAATCTCCGTTAAGAAATCTCAGGGACGGTCTGAAACTATACGTGCAACGACCTAGAAGTAATTTCCTTCGATCTTCCTTCTCTCATCGAGCGTCTCTTTTATGGAATAACTTACCCATGTACTTAAAGAGCAAACCGAACGTTGTTTCTTTTAAATCTGCTCTTAAAGCCAAATCTGACATTTTAGATAAAATAACATTTGATGGTTTACAGGGAATAAACAAAGACTTTGTGAATTACATATATTGGTGCTATTTTTATTATTATTTTCCTTTATTTATTTATTTTAACGCTACAGTCAATTGACTGTTGATTATCTTACTGGTATTATAGTTTTTTCTTACTCATTGTAAATAATTCTTAAGTTTGTTAACATTAATATTTAAATTGTTGTAAATATATTTAAATTTGTGGGTCCACATCAGCTTTTTAGCTGCCTTCTTGTACTGACCTACATGACAAATAAATGTATGTATGTATGTATGTATGTATGTATGAGTTTATCCAAACTCAAACACGCTCAGGGCTGCCTACAAAGAAAATTGCTTGTTTTAAAACCCTTTGCCTTAACTGTCGCGCCCTCGTGAATTTTAACAAAGCACACCAGTCTTCGCTTTGAAATGTGTTTCCTCTGATTATTCATTCCAAGTTTATTGCAAAGCTGGACCATTATCTTAAGGTACAATGGAAAACGTTTTGCCCTATTTGGAAAAAAAACTACGGGGTGGCCCTGGAACAGTTTGAAATCTTTGAATGAATACATATCTTTATTCAATTTTTTTTTTCTAAATTTAGAATCGTCAGCATTTCTAACAGCATGGCTTTGGTATTACCGGGGTTTGAATGACGTTCATGGTCCTCTGATAAATTTCCTCTCCGTGGTCTTAAATTCTTTAAGGCCTTTCCCCTCAAGTAACTTGTTCGGTAGTTATGGAAACATGTAACCGTGATATATATTACAGTGAAAACTAGTGGACGGACTTTAACTAGCCCGCGGGGCAGGTGCGATTTTTTTAAGTGAGTCCTCAGTGTTTTGGTGAAAACTATAGCTGCAATCTTTGATCTAAACTGCAGGGTAAGTCGTTACCATTGATCGAATAAATTGGTCTTCAGAAATATAAGTAGTAATTGAATTTGAGAGTAGGATTACAGAAATCAACAAATAAAATGAACCGACTGACTCTTGGGTATTTAGAAGAGTCGAATAGAATATTTTCATTTCACCTTGTGAATTCCCCCCC